GCCTAGCTTCTTAAAAGTACATATAAAACGTTGACCTTACAGGGGACAGGAAACTTTCCCCAGGCTAGTCTCTGTTGTAAGATAAAGAATTGTAATAGAGCAAGGTTGCTGGCTCAAAGGACACACAGGTTACTGATTGATAGGTAAAGATACTGGGAAATTGCTGTAAGAAGAGAATGTTTGCTAAGATCAAGCTTTCGTTGGTGGATCAACTTAACTTCTTGAAAATTGCATTATGGAATGTCACTGTGCTTTTCTTATTGAATGTTACCAGCTTCTATTGTTAAACTTGTTAAACTACACTTAGCAAAAACCTCACCTATGTTCTCTTCCTGTAACTTCTTGGTCTGGAGAATAAATGCGGGAAGAGAACCCCAATTTGTGGCTTATTTCCCAATTGGAAGGAATGCCTCTCTTTTGAGGGTTTGGGAGATTAACCCCTTTTGGGGGCTTCTCACTGCTCAGAAGAGATGGGCTTTGAGTAATCTTTGGCGGCTCTGTCACTCAGGGGAAAAGGGGTGACAAATCCGTGGGAGGCAAAGCAGCAAGTGACTGTGAGAGAGTTGTGAGTTTAGGAGGAGAAAAATCAGGATTTTTTTTCTCTATCTCTCAGACCATCTTACAAAGAATTTTATATATCTTAACTCATCAGAGGCTCATAACAACTTGCATGGGAAATTTTCTTCATTGCTAATTTTCAGATGAATTTAAGCCTTGGAGTCTGATACTCCATCTGGGCTTGACCACTTGAGTGACCCTGGGCTCTTCCTTCCTGTCTTGGAGCCTCGTCTAAGAGTGGAGTTAGTGATGATAGTACTACCTCACAGCATGCTTGTGTTACACGCTGTTATGCATGTGGCTAGCACACAATTAATGCTAAATACGTATAAGTAAAAATTTTCTCGTAACTATTTTGATACATCAAACTGCCTCCCTGTCTGTAAAGTGCCTAGTACTAGCACACAGAAGACACTAAGCAAATATTGGTTCCCTTCTTTGAACCGTTTGGCTTCTACCCCAGATTACCTCTTGAATAATTCTTCCAGCTCTAATCTGGTCATCATCTTAGTGATCAACGACATTGTTCTGCCCTCAGCTCCCTCCTCCCTCCACCCTCCCCAAGCTGACCCAGCAGAGCCAGGCGCCCGATGGGAGACGGTGGCTAACTCTGGGCAGCCTGATGAGGTCATTGGTGTTTGCTTCTGGCTGGAACCTGCTGGAAGTTGGACAGGTTCACCCATTATTCACCACACCTACAAATCAGCTGGAGAAATCCTAGGCTGGCATCGAGATGCAGGTCTTGTGAACAGGAAAGTAGAGAGCTTCTGAGGGTGAACTAGCTCCCGGGGTCTGGCAGAGACACAGCTCCATGGAGCTTACAAGATGAGGTCACTTGCTCCTTTCTCCAGGGGAATGAGTGACAGAGACACAGGCGTATGGGCCAATGGAGAGTAAGATTAGTGGGAATGTCCTTGATATATTCCCCAATGGGAAGCAGTTTTGTTTTCCCTGCCTCTCGGGGTATTAGTCACTGAAAAACAAGTTTTGGTGCCAGAGCCTTCAGAGGGTTCCAAAGCTGCTTTTTCAGAGACAGGTACTTAAATCCTCTTGCTTTCTGCTCAGGGGTCATTCTGACCATACTCTAGGAGTTTGGGGGTGGGTCTTAATAGGATCAGGGGACAGTGACTGACAGGTCACTGTGCCAGGTTGCACCCACCTTGCTGGCTCACTCCTCTCCTCCCTGACAGCTGGTTATTCTTAGCCACAGATTACTTTCCCTCTCAATGTAATTTATTAGAGCTATTTTGAGGAAGTAGCTAGATAAGAGAGGGTGATGTGAAATAGTAAGCCAATAGGGCATGGGTGGCTGCCTTCTACCTCCAGAGAACACACACAGGGCTGCACTCCTCAGGCCTGCCCCCACTGGGCTCCCCGTGCCCTGGACCCTTCCCTTCTTTTCCCACTGCCCTGGCAGTCCTGCTCCTTCTCAGCCAGCCAGCCCACTGGGAGCAATCACATTAACGTGGCTGCAGAATAGCATATACTGCTCGAGGAATAGAAATAACACACATTCGACCTCATTGGAACACTTTAAAGTATCGTAGTGAGAGAGACCTTTGGAGCTGGAAGAGACAGCAAAGATCACTGACAGCCAAGTCCCTGCTCAGGGACCTGCCCCATCCCCCCAGAGGAAAGGAGAATCTCTGTGTGTGGGTGGCCATGGTTTGTACCACATGGCCCAATGCCCTGGCTGCTGCTCTTTGAACTGAGAAGGGCAACTGTGCTGAGGAAGATTTATAGGCTGGCTTAGCACAGAGCTGGCCTGGTGCTAGAACTTTGTCTGACAGGGTGGCAGTGACCAACTAGAGCAAGGGCAGTTTTTGTCTCCGGAGCTTAAACGTGAGCCATACAGAGAGCAAGAACAGATGTGGAAAGACAAACAGGGAAGCCACAGTGCAGCAGGGCTCGGTGACTCCTGCTGCTCGGCAGGCGAGGGGGTGGGGGGTCCTGAGCCCTTGGCGACACCCAGTTCCCCCACGGGGTGCCTGCCACGGGATGTCCAGCCCATTCTACTTGGATGCTCACAAGGAGCCCCCTTTATGAGACAACTTCAGTGAGCCTCTCATACTGACCACCCGGAGGAGCCGGCACACGATTAACCCGTTGTTCTTCACAGGAGGGAGTGAAGGCTGGGAGACCACGGGCACTCCCCAGGTTACAGAACCAGCCCATGCCCGAGTCCAGACACAATCCAGGTTTCCTTATCCAAAATGCATGCTCTCCGAGGGACGGGGGTGTGCAGGCCTGGGTGGTGGGGGCGGTGACAAAGGCAGGGAGGGTGGGAGGGAGACTGGTTTCCAGTGACAGTGAGGAGCGACACAGCGGATGATGAGTTCAGTTGCTCACATCTTCTGTAAAGTTGTAATTAAGAGCAAGCTTGCAGACGGCGAGAGGTGAGTTCCGCACTGCTCTGCGTCAGGCCCTGTCATGACTGCTCCTGCTGCTTTTCCCTACCTGCTTCCTTCACCAGCCTTCCCTAGGTTGTGCCCACATGGGAGATGGCTTTGGAAAGGGGACAGAATGAGTGGAAATCTCCCCCCAGATGCAGACCTACTTACCGGTCGTGCGCTCTATGAGCAAATCCAGGCCAGTTTTGTGCTAATGTCTATAAGTCCATAGAGACCTTGTTGCCCACACCCCAGTGTTTAACGGCGAGACAGCCCGGGAGATGGCTTTGCAAAGGGGGCAGAATGAGTGGAAATCTCCCCCCAGATGCAGACCTACTTACCGGTCGTGCGCTCTATGAGCAAATCCAGGCCAGTTTTGTGCCAATGTCTATAAGTCCATAGAGACCTTGTTGCCCACACCCCAGTGTTTAACGGCGAGACAGCCTCCAGTGATGCTCTGTTTATCCCACAAGGAACACCGATAGGAAATGTATTCTGGGCGGCTGCAGACTTAAGGGAAAGAACCGCCAGGGTCAACCCTGGCCTGGGTGGAATCATCCTCAGAAGGCTCATGGCCCATGTTTCCCTCCTCACAGGGCATGGACACCGCCCGGGTTGCAGTTGTTGGGGCAGGTGTGGTGGGGCTCTCCACTGCTGTGTGCGTTTCCAAACTGGTCCCCCGATGCTCCGTGACTGTCATTTCAGACAAGTTTACTCCCAATACCACCAGTGACGTGGCGGCCGGAATGCTCATTCCTCATGCTTATCCAGGTGAGAGAGAGGTTTCAGCTCCTCTGCAGAGTCGCCAGATGTTAGATGATGTGAGGGGAATTCTGTCACAAAGACGGCTGGCTGTGTAAGTGTGAAGTGCCATTTTAACACCCCGTCGGTTCATCTGTTAGGACAGGCTCAGTTACGCCGCAGGACAAAACAACCTCCAAAGCTTAGCAGCTGAAAAAGCAAAGGTTTGTTTTTGCTCACACTCTCTGTGGGTTGAGCACCAGCAAGTGTTCGGCTCATGACCCGGGGACCTGAGCTGATGGAGTGGCTGTCATCCTGATTGTCCTCAGTGCCTGTGCCCGGGGCCAGGGTGCTCCAGAGGGTCTCGCCTCGGCAAGTAATGCTCTGGCCAGGAAGTGACCCTCCACACTTCAGATGACAGCACACTGGCAGAGCTAGTCACATGCCCCCAACCCTTAGGAGGGGGCCAGGATGTGCGATTCTAGAAGATTCCCAGAAGATGGATAGCAGAAGTATTCCATGAACAGCACTCATGACTTTACAACTGGTGACTCTAACCTTTCCAGTAATGACCATCAAGTCAGAAATTACTTGTAATGGGACTAAAATTATCCTAACTTCTAAAGCAGTGTACAAACAGTCAGCCAATATGTCCTTAGACCTGAAGATGCATTGATTTTTGAACATGTCCACACATCTTTTCCATTGGATTCTTCACATAACATGGGGGGAGAAGGGAAATAGCATTAAATAGAAACCAAAATTACTCTGCAGCTAACAAGGTTTGTACTCACTGTCCCCAATTCCTCATTTCCACTTTCCTTTTTCCCTTTAATTTTGTTTTCATTTTATTTTTTATCAAAGTTTTATATGCATACAGTTTAAACAAATGTTTTACATGACTGACAGCAAAAAACAGAAAACTGGAAGATGAAAATTGCCCTGCCTTTTAATCTGGAAACTCATGCTCTTTAGTCCAAGAAGCAGTCTTTGAATTACTCAGTTTTTAACTTTCTGCCTTCTTTTTTTTTTTTTGTCTTTTTTTGTGACCGGCAACGGATCGCAACCCTCAGTGTCGCACCCGTACCGGACCGGGACTGGCAACGGGATCGCAACCCTCAGTGTTGCGCCCACACCTCGCTCAGCCAGTGAGCGGCCGGTCTGTATGTGGGATCCGAACCCTCGGCGGGAGCGCTGCCGCGCTTCCCAAGCGGCACACTGTAGCAGTGCGCCACCGGGCCGGCCCAACTTTCTGCCTTCTGATGTCTCTGTCTCTCTTTCTGGAATTGCTGTTACATGGGGCCTCCTGAGCTGGTCCTTCAATTCTTTTAGCTTTTCCCCCCTCCTATTTCTCTCTCTCTTTCTCTCTCTCTTTATTTTACTTTCTGGGGGATTTTCTCAATTTTTTTTGACCTTGCTTTTGAATTTTTTATTTCTACTATACCATTTGTAATATTCCAAAGCTCTTTTTTGTTCTCTGAATTTTCCTTTGTTATAACATCCTATTCATGATGTATGGTTGCAATATCTTTTCTTACCTTTCTGAAGATACTAATAATGTTTTAAAAGTTTTTCACCCTGCATAATTTCTGTTGTCTCCAAGTTGTGCTTTTCTGTTTGATGTTCTCAGTTTTCATGATAGAGTTTTTCCTTGGTCGTGTGGTAATCGTTACCTGTCTGCTGACACTTATGAGCAGGACCCTAAACAGCAGATGGGAATTTCCCAGTGCTTGCATAGGGCTTATCACCTATGAGCCTTGCTGGAGTGAGAAGGTGGGGCTGTTTAGTTGGGGAACCTCTGATGTCACGACTTTTAAGTCTTTCTCCTTGGGTGGACTATGTTCCCCAGTGAACAGGCTTCCAATATCCTGGCTGGGGCGGGTGGAGGCCTGGATACCAGCATTCTGGAAGGTGAGGGGAGAAGAGGCTGGGCCTTAGCACCCTATTCACACGTGTTTCCTCAATTCTCCTGTTTTTGGTATGGTATCTCTGCCTTCACCTGCTTCATCTGTCCCAGTCCAAACACCCCAATTTCACCCAACAGAGAATAAGCCCATCTTTTGCCAGGGTAATGAGGGCAGTGTCCTTGGCATTGCAGGTCCAGGAACTTGGCTGTGTCAGCACCCAGGATGCTGGTACACCTCCTGGGAGCTGCCTCACATGAAGCAGACACCAGAGCCTGGTGTGTGTGCCAGATGCTAGTTCACACTGGGCACCTTTCTTGTGACTAGAGTTCTTGTGCCCATTTTCCAGGAGCCCCCTTGCTTGCACGAGGCCTGAGTGAGTGGTCAGAAGGCTGCTTGGCAGTCCTGTAATCATCTTCAAAGAAGGAGGCTCATCTGAGAATTCATCCAGGCCCTTGAGGCCCGAGTTGTCCCTTTGGCTGGATGGCTGGGTCTCCTGGACCAGACTCTCTCTCTGGTGTTGCTAGATAAAGGCTTTGGTCTTCCCTCTGGGCTTCTTTCCTAGACAGTACTCAGACCAGCTCCAGTAGTAAGTATCTCCTGTGCTCAGCAGCTGAGAGGCCATGACAAAAGAGCACCAGTTAGGGATTCACCTGGGACAACCACAGTGTGAAAGGTTAAGAGTTTTTAGTGCTTACAGACCCTAGGGAGTACACAGCATGCCTAGACACACACACACACACACACACACACACACACACACACACACACACACACACACACTCTCTCATACACACAGGTAAGGGAGCTCAGACAGGAGAGAGAGAAGGGACCTGTGGACCACTGCCTCTATTGGATCCAGGGCATTATCCAAACAGGCTTCCCATGGGGAGATTTAGTTGGTGGGTTTAAAGCAAATAGGCACTAGTTGCAGGAGGTTGCTCTGTAACCAAGAGGTGGTCATGTTAAGTTCATGGGCAAAGGTCTGAATGGTCCCTTTAAAGGAGGGGGCAGGAAAGCAGGGAACCCAGATGCCTCAGAATTTTTATCTGTGGCCACTGGCTAGAGCCGTTTGGGTGGGGGGTAGTATTGGAATCTGTGTCAAGTGTGACTGAGCCCTGCATCAGGTATTAAAAAGTTAAACATATTTTAAAATTGGTGCCAAGGCAGCACAAAATTAGAAACACTCAGTACCGTTCTTTCTGCAGCTTTGTATTTATTTCTTCCTGATTTCAAACCCAGCAACCCCAGTTCGCAATTTTGGAATTCAGTGTTGAGTTTACATGGGTACATGTTTAAAGATGACAGTACAGATCCACTACTAAAGAAATATGTGTTGGCTCAATGACAAGTGAATTGTTTTAAAACCCTGTTACTGACATGCCTCATTGACCCGGGGGCTTTGTCTGGGGAGCAGGATGTCTCCAAGGATCTTTCCATCGATTCTGTGAATTCAGGAGCACTTTTCCAAGTGGAGCCGACCCCGAATTCTCTTTGCCTCAGTTCCCCCATAGCAGCCTCTCGGGATTATTGTTCCCTGGTCCCTGGGCAGGCCCTGGTCACCCTCATGATCCTTTCCCAGGAATCAGATGGCCAAATACTTCACAGCAGTTGGATTTGTCTTTGACTCCAGGTTATGCTTACTCTCTCTGCCTACACTGGACATGATTACTTTGGAGCTTAAACCCTGCCTCTGATTTCCTCCTTGACATGCCTGGCACCCTTCCAGAAGCTATGTTCAGGTCCAATCCTTTGTGCACTGGCGGGGGTGCCTGGGGGTTGGTGTAATACCTGCACACCCGTGCCAACCTTGGAAATGCTACTCTAGCTGGCCCATAATTCCATGGTGAGGAGGGTAATGGCAGCCCAGGCTGGGAAATCTGGCCTGCAGGGGGCTTTTCCTAAGGAGGTCGTCTCCACAGTGCAAGCCTTTTTCCTTGGATCAGGAGGGTGAGCTTCCTGGGCTTCCCAAAGACACACACTCTGTTCTCTGTCTTGGTTGACCTGGGCTCCACAGACCTCTCCTTGACACCCACCATGTTTTCAGCCTCAGGAAAGAGGCCCTGGGTCTTCTCTTCTAACATCTCAACTGTGTGGACGGCTGCATCCCTCAGCCATGAATCAACCTCTGCTCAGACTTGTTACAGACCCTTCAAGGACCTCTGGAATATACCTAGTGCCAAAGACCACCTTGCACCTGGCTCGCATGTCAGGTTTTGCCCTGGTTGGCCTGTTTTCCCTCCATTGATTAATGCTTATATGAGCAGACTTGGACAACATGTGTCCACATTCAAAACTCTGCTTGCTGACAGATCCTCCAGCACAGTGTGGTACTTTATCTAAATGTTCCTCCCTGTCTCCTTATTTTTTCCCAGTTTCTAGAAGGAGTTTATCTGAAGCATAGTCACTATCATCGTTTTCCTTTCTGTTCCACTTTTCTTTTCTCCACGGTGACAGACACACCCATTCACCAGCAGAAGCGGTGGTTCAGGGAGACCTTTGATCACCTGCTCGCAATTGCCGGTTCCGCAGAAGCTGGAGATGCTGGCGTTCTTCTGGTGTCTGGGTAAGAGAGGAAATCTGAAGTTATTTTAAATTTAGAACGGTCTTAACAGGTATTAGAGTTGAACATAACATATTTACTGAGTATCTGCTGGGAACAGAGTGCTGAATCCAATGTAGAAGGATTTAGAAAGAACCTTACAGGCTTTACTACAAAGAACTTGAGAAAGACAAGTTATAACAGTAAACTTTTTAACAATAAACAGCCATCACAGTTTTTCATCACAAATGCTATTTTGAGTTTCCTGAGGGAATATGCAGTGATTTGCAAGTATGGCTAAAAACAGACACAGGAGGTAAGGGCTGAGCTTGGGTCCTGTGGGGATGGTGTGGCTGATAGGAGGCAAACAGGTGTGATATTAGAATGGGTGCAGAGACCTAAGGTATGGGGGCTTCTTATTTATTTACTGTCTTTGGAGAATGAGATGTTCCAAAAAAGTAAATTTTGTAGGTCACTAAAGTTGCCTTTTGAAGTGCCATTTGGGGAAAAAAAATTTCTGAAATAGCATGCTTCTATTTGAATTTTAATATCTGATTTCAGGAGACATGTACAATTAAATGAAAGTTTGAGAATAAATTCTATTTAACATATCTAACACAGGCTAGCACTTAAAATGAGACAATATCTTTTTATCTCATCTTAAACAGAGATCACTAAATATTCTATCACTTTTAATTTACATTGTGGAATCATCATACGATAGATCATCTGTGTGGTCCTGTGTGATGACACGGTCATGCCCTGCAGCCTCTGAAGAGCAGAGGGATGATCTGAAAACCACTACATCTTTTGTACCATTATGCATGTTTTTTAAAAATTGTCCTGTCTCCTCTTTTGATGTCAGGCTGCCCACTGACTTCTCCACTGTGTGCACGCCTGCATCAGGTAGATTTCTACCCTCGTCCTTTTCTGGCCTTCCCTCACCACCACAAGCACCAAGATGATGTTGATATCACTAGTTTCCCCAAAGCCCCTACCCAAAGTAGCAGCTTTTGCTTCTCTATCAGTCTATGGATTGTTTTTCCTCTATCACTATCTCCACAACTAGTTGATCAGCCACATAGAAAAATTGTTCTCACTGATTTATGGTCGCATTTTGTTTTTATCCAAAATCAACATGACCTACTCTAATTCACAAACATTGGCTCTAAGTAATTTTTAGGAACAGCTATGCCTCAAATCCAAATGTTCTTTTAAGAGTAAAACTTTACAAAATGTCTGTGAATTTTTGGCATAAGTATATAGCCTTATTCATCTATTCATTTATTCATTCCTTCAGAACAATTTATTTGGCATTCACCAGTACCAGATACTCTCCTAGGTATTAGAAATATAGCAACGAATAATTTAGTAATATCATTTGGCATGTAGTAGATGTTTAGTAAATATGTGTTGAGTGAATTTTTAAGGAAGACAGACACAGTCCTGCCCTCCTGTAGCATATGGTCTGTAGGAAATGCACTAAATCTAATGAACTACAAATGGGACATGAGTTACTCAAGGGAAGAGGACAAGGTACTATGGAAGCAGATTGTTAGGTTCAGCGAGAGGGAGAAGAGAGAGAGACCTGAGCCCAGGTGCCATTTCAGCCAAAAGCTTTATTCTACTAATGTGGAGGGGAGACTGAGCCAGATCAGTTCCCCCCCAACCCAGGAAAGCAGGAAGTTTATAAGACTTTTAGGGAGGATCTGATAGAGTCATGGGTAATTTCAAAATCAGTGGTATGCAAGGTGACACAGCCCTTGTGGTCTGACAACATCTGGTCGGTTAGGGCATAGGCTCTTGATTAGCCACCATCTCAGTACGAAGCATTCCAGCCCAAAGCCTGCTAAAAGCAGCCCACAGGACGTTCCTTTGATGATAACAGTCATGGTCATGTTTACCCCTTCCCAGGAGAGGAACCTCAGTTTCTGGAGCAGAAAAGGGAAAGGAGAGAAGGGGGAAAGTTGCTTAACATGGCTGTGCTGATGTTAAGCTAGCCATGAGGCCTAATACATATGTCTGGAGAAGAACTTGCTCTGAGAAGTTATGAGAAGCCCCTCTGAGACCATCAGGATGAGTGTACGTCAGTGTGGTGATATTGTAGAGACAAATGGGGCAGAGACAGGGTGGCAGACAGAGGAGACAGCATTCCAGGTAGGGGGAGCAGCACACTCATAGATCTCAGTCTAGGGCAACTGTAACATGGGGGAGGGACTAGAAAAGTCCAGGGTAATGAGAAGACATTGAGGATTTTGCACAGTAAAGTAACTGACCATATTTGCATTTCAAAAATATTTTGTCTGTAGTGTGGAGTATAGATTTCTTGGAAGAGAGATAGATTAGAGGCTGGTAATATGGATAGAGAGTGGATGGATTTCAGAAATGCTTGGGAGGAGATTTGATGGGACTTGATAGTTGATAGAGTGTGGGGGGTGAGGGAAGAGAGAGAAGCAAGAATGGTCCTTGGGTTCCCGGCGTGAGCACCTGGGTGGATGGGTACCATTTTCTGAGTTGGGTAAGAATGGGGAAAGAGCAGATATGTGCGTGTGCATGTGGGTGTGTGTAAATGTATCAAACATCTAAGTAGACCTGTCCAGTGGAAAGTGGCAACATGGGTCTGTATCTATTTTTGGAGCGCAGGAGAGAGAACAGGTCTGGAGATGTCACCTTCTGAGTGGCTTCAGGAGGTGACATGGTGGTGAATATATGGAAGAGGGCAATCTAGCCAGGGAGAGTGTGTAGAATGACAGGATGAGGGCCAGTGTAGTGCCCTGCAGTAAACAACATTTACACTTTCATGGGGACTGCTATGAGTATCTTAGAGATATCAATTCTGGTACGTTAATGACCGTATCATTAGCAACTATACACAGCACTCTATGGCTATTTTAGAGTAACAACGATTGCATTTACTGATGAAAACAACCCAATACTTATAAATTCAAACATATATATATATATATATAGCAGTTATTAGTAGTACTATTACAGTCTTCTTGTTAACAACCAATATCATTCCAGGCTCATCCACCCCAACGTGCCAGGGACAACAGGGCTCATCTTTACATCCACTGGCTTCTGTCTATTCCTAAAGCTAAACTGGGTGACTTGCAACTTAACTCCTAATTTGCCCCACCTCACCCCTGCTTCCTGCACACCTGCTGTTGCTTGTTCCAGTTTAGATATCCTGTTCAGAATTGAGGCTAACCTTTTTTTTTTTTCTTTTTGTCTTTTTTACTGACCGGTAACGGGATCGCAACCCTCGGTGTTGCGCCCGCACCTGGCTCAGCCAGTGAGCGGGAACCGGTCTCCACATGGGATCTGAACGCTCGGCGGGAGCGCCGCCGCGCTCCCAAGTGGCACACTCTCCAGTGCGCCACCAGGCCAGCCCTGAGGCTAACCTTTAACCTTTTGACGTGTTGCTTACAATTTGTAAAGCATTGTGCAAAACAGAAATCTTTCCTCAAAAATGCATAGTCATAAGTAAATAAAGAAAATCTGGACAACATCTTTTTAGAAAAAGAGAATTAAATTCAATCTTTAAAAGGCATGTGACTTTTAAAATGTCTTATTCCCCCAATCGTGAACATTTGAAATTTAGCTACTAAGTTATCAGAACCCAAGAGAATGGAAGAATAGATCTTTTTCTCTTTGTATTAATAGGAAGTAAATTTTTTGTTTTGTTTTGTTTTACTTTTTGGCAGCTGCCTGGTATGGGGTATAGCAAGTACATTTTTTAAATGCTTTAGGGAATGTCACATGGAGTTTCCTAGAAATATGTTATTTCACAAAATTTCAGGAAAATTTTCTACTTAATATGTTTGAGTTGGCAGATATTCCGGAGCTTTCCTATTGAAGATGTGCCATTCTGGGCTGACGTAGTTTTGGGATTCCGAAAGATGACAGAGGCTGAGCTGAAGAAATTCCCTCAACACGTGTTTGGTCAGACTTTTACAACCCTGAAATGCGAAGGCTCTGCCTACCTCCCGTGGTTGGAGAAAAGGTTGGTTGAAACGACTTCGCTGCTTCCTTTATCTGTCATAGCCATGAATAACTTACTAGCTGTACATAAAGTATATACTGAAGATTGTCTGTGGTCCCTGAGAGCTCCTTCGTATTGTGTCCTGTCGCTAACAAATGGCTAGGGCTTGGAAAAACCATCTGAAGACACTGCTTGTGTCACTAAATCACACCACGCTTGTAGTTAACATGTCTGTCATCTATTTTCAGTGTGCACCTTGCTGCCTGATTTGTTCCACTCCCCCAAGTATAACCCACTTATTGAAACGGTATCTTAGTTTTCTCATCTGTAAAATGGAGAAATTTGGAGAAGATGCTTCCAGCTATAAAATAATATGGTTTACTCTAGTTCTTTAAATGAGAGAATCTTATACTTATAAATTATTTTTGGATTTTTTTTCTCATTCAAGGTAAAAAAAAAGAATAGCTTCATTATTTTCCTTTGGCATAAATGAGAACTCCAAACCTGAGGGCTTATCCAAAGTGTGTAGTTGCTTTCTCACTAAGTTCAGCGCCTAAGACCTTGAACGTGCATTTGGGCTTGGTTTTCAGGACTTCCTGTTTCCAGTCAGTTAGGAAACACATTAAGAGTATATTTGACACACATCAATAAATCTCTCTTTAGTTTAGACTGGACATTGTAGGCATGCTGAGCATTGTGCAACACCAGCCCTTTTAGTTCCCCAATCTGTATATTTGATAGATGAATAGGAACTATGTGAATTATTGTGTAAATGTTGGAAAAGTGAGTTGAACTAAGCAATGGCAACAATGATGCAGATGTGGGATCATTTTTTTTTTAAAAGATGACCAGTAAGGGGATCTTAACCCTTGACTTGGTGTTGTCAGCACCACGCTCTCCCAAGTGAGCCACAGGCCGGCCACTAGATGTGGGATAATTGATTCATATAATTCATTAATTACAAAATTCTTTGTTGAACACCTGTATATACATGGCACTGTACTAGAAGCTGGTCAAAAAATAAGGATAAAATACGATTGCTTTTCATGGTCTGTTGGGGGTGACTGTGTTTGTACAGTAATTAACAATTACAGTAACTCATAGTGAAGGTTAAGTACAGTTTTTGCAGCGTGGAATGGGAACAGAGGAGGAGGCACTCTGAGTTTGCTAGGCACATGTCAGGAACTTCATGTTATATTTTTATAGTTTTATAAGTACTCTTCTTACTTTTACCTCTTAGCAATTTATATGGGACATTTTACTTTTGTAAGTTTCAGTTTTTTATAAAACCCACACTTTTGTGCCTTGTTCCCTGGCCCATAAAGCACTGTATTTTGCCAAATATGGTCTTGGATACATCAGCTGATAATTGTGCATTTTGGGCCATCACGTGATAGAGTTGCCCACCAGCCAACATGCAAGTTTTTTAGTAGCATCACCATCTTTTTGGAGTGGCAATGTTGTGCAGTGCAGCATTTTTCCTTATATTAAAAAATGACTGAAAATAGAAAATTGGAAGTGTTGATGCTAGTGATAACAAGTTGGAGTATTGTATACCTTATCGTAATAAAATTCAGATAAGTGGAAACTATTAGGCATGCCAAAAACTGGCAGAACGTTACTCGATATAATGCATAATTTTTTTGATAAAGTGAAAAACCAGAAACAAAATGAAGAACATG